GAGCCCACTTTGTGCCTGGGTTAGAGACATGATATCAAGACTCACAAGTGAGGGGGCGTGTTAGAATATCACTTGTGAGTTGTCCCACATCGTTCACGCATAGAAAATAGACCCACCTTATAAGTCTAATGGGCTACTCCTCCTTTCACCAATTGGTTTTGGGATGGAACCTCATTTGGGCTTCATAATTATTTCATAGCGAATGTAGTTTACATAACCAATGTATTTTCGTTTTGACATATCTCAATGTAGTTTCCTTATGACATATCTCAACGTAGTTTTGTTATTTTACTTTGATATGCATTTTGGTTTCATTGTGGTTTTCATGTTTTTTGTGCCATTCACATTTTATCTTCCATTTTTATATGATGTTGCATTTGCTATTGCATAACGAATATATAGTCGTTATCCATTGTCGTAACGAATGTCTATTTGTTATCTGATAATTTTCTCATAACGAATGTAGATTCGTTATGAGAAAGCCATCCATCGTTCACAAGTTTATTTGATAATTTACCTCAATAGAAAGCCATCCATCGTTCACAAGTTTATTAAAAAATTCTTTATTTGCTCGACCACCATAGGACAACTCAAAACTACATAAAAAATCAATACATTAAACAAAGACATACAACCTTATATATTACAATAAGTAGCACACAATTAAATTAACACAATTACATACCTTTCAGGGGAGCTCGACAACCACGTTTGGAGATCTTCAAGTTTAGCTGGATCCACTAGTCTAAAAGGGTCGTACTCCGTCATAGTTGCAAATTTTTTTCTTTTTTCAATATTCCTCCACGGAGTACATAGAACGGCGGCCTTTCTTTTCTTCTGGTGCCCTCTCCCCTTATGAGACTCAAGTGGATCGTCTACATCGATTTTCTCTATCTCCATTGGTATTGGCTCTATCTCCACTGGTGTTGGTAGTGGTCTATCTTGATACACAACAATGGTTGATGACGCAAAACCTACAATAAGCAAAAAAAAAAAACTATCAATACTCATTTATTTATAACAATGCACTATCAAATTACGTAGTAGTTAAAATTATATTTTACATACCCGCATCATCATGAAGTACAGCCATTTCATGCTCGGGCACCGAAGATGGTGATTTCATCGTGTCTGCGAAAGAGAAAAAAATAATAATTCAATAACATGTTGCATTTGTTCTATTTTTTTTAATAACCGAGTAAGAACATTAATATAATGCATTGATGTACAATAATCGAGTAATAACTTTACCACATTCAACGGTCTCCTTATCCCGCACATTTTTCTCCACCTCAACATCTGGATCATCATGAGTACCACGACTAGATAGTTTATCTTTTGCTTCAAAAAATTCATTCTTCATTCTCTCAAATAAATTGTTGTTCTTCTTCTTCTTCTTCTTCTTCTTCCTCTTCTTCCTCTTCTTCTTCTTCTTCTTCTTCTTCTTCTTCTTCTTCTTCTTCTTCTTCTTCTTCTTCTTCTTCTTCTTCTTCTTCAGCTTTAGAAGATGCACTGACTTCTTCCTGAACTTTGGTCGCAGTGCATTCTTCATCCTCATCTTGATGGACACTATCTTCTTCCTGGGCAATTATACCCAATTCGTACAAATATGAAGACTCAACTTCATATGAACAGGGTTTCAACGTTCGTCGAACTTCAATCTGATTGAAATATAATTAGTTTTTTAAAAGTATACGTATAACAATAAATAAGAAGAATAATTTGTAACCAAAATTGCCTCCGCTACCTTCCCTGTCGAAAAAAGTATTAAGTTGGTACGGGTATAGGTTTAGCAAAGACGCTCATTGTCTGGGTCGTCGTGTGGGGGTGTCTTTCCTTAGCGACCTTTCTTTCAATATTACCGAGTGGAAGAAGAAATATTTCTTCATTCGACCTGCTCCTGGTCAATATCCTTTCACAAACGAGTGGATTACCAATAAAACCAAGCAACGCAAGCGCCCCGACTCTTTGCAGTTTGCGGATATGCTGGAAGAGTTGAATAAGCACGTGTGGAGCGCTCGTCAACTGACTAAGGATAGCTCTCTGCTTAACCATGTTGGCATCTGTGTCGACAAGAGTATTCCTCGACTCAATGACCCTTGTAAGTTTCTTCGTTTATATCGTTTTTCGTTTCGACTTGTTGTCGATCATCTGGTCACGGGTGTTTTTTGTGTTTGTTCGTT